GCCACCTATACAACAATCTCAACTAATTAGTAGTCTAACAATACAACCACAACAAACCAACCAACTCTAAATTTTATCACCAATTGAATCTTTAACAATACTATCCTTAACATTCATAAGGTCTACAGTTGCATTATCTTCTTGCTTGACCCGATGTTTGTAAGTAATGCTTATGAAAGTGAATTAATAAATTAATATGCATGAAATTGCAGGTCTTACTGGCTTGGCCATCTGGGCAGTTACCCTCTTTGGCATTCTTGCAGGGGGTGCCCTTCTTGTCTACAACACAAGTGCTTTGTCACAGTAAAATTATTGATTATTCCTCTGTTGTTGTAATTTATGTAGCCTGTCCCAACTAGTTGCCGTAAACAAGAACATTAAAGAAATACTCTGTGCAAACCTTAATTGTAATTGTTTTGGCATGGATTCAATTTGATGGGTGTAATATTGAGCTGGACTTCTTCTTCTTCTTCATTTATTTGTTTGAATTTATTTAGTTCAGAACGGGGTTGGATGGGGATTGAATTTGGCGGGTGAGTATATTGTCTGTGCGTATAAGTTTTTTGTTCTTTGCCCTGATCTCGAGGGAGGGGGAATTAAACTTGAAAACTCCTTTAACAAAGTTGAAATAAATATTACTAGACCAATAGTTATGTACGATTCGATTATGTAAAATATGTATTGGGTGTGCATGTTGGAAGAAGAAACAAACTTAGGCTTTCCAAATGAAACTTGGAGTTTCTATTCAATTTGACTCCTAATCTATTAGTTATGACAAAAGCATGAGCATTTCAGATAGGATAAAAAATATAATAGATCAGTCCGATCAAGTTAATTATCTGTGGGACAGATCTCACAAAATCATGAAACCTATATTTTGGTAATCTAGGTTATTCTCATCTTGTGTTAGAGTTATTCCGCCACTAACCTAATGCATATTGTAACAACGAAACCGTATAATTCATATAAAAATTCATTGATAAGTCTTATATCTTGTTATATTATTTAAAGTACATATTAATAGAATCATGATTGTTAACCAAAACCTCATAAAATTATTATTCCAACCCTCTAATCAAAACTGAACAGAAAAAAAAAAAGACAATTATGTAATTTCACACAAATAAAATTTTGCTGTTTTTTTAAAGCTCCACTCAGTACTACGGTCTTGTGGTATTTTTCTTCACTTAAAAGAGTGAGGTCTTAGGTTTGAATCTCATGGATGGCGAATTCAATACCAAATTAGGTTGTCCATTGTGTAGCTTAACTGAACTCCCCCTCCTCTTAGTGTAAAAATATATCAATTTACTCAAAAAAAAAAAAAAAACAAAAGCCTCACTCACACTCACATGTGATTTTGAAATATCTCTAATATTAGAAAAATAAAAATAAAACCTATTTCCCCTCTCTCCCCACTCTCGTAATTTCTCCTTTTATTTTAAAAATAAAAATAAAAAATGTTCACGTACATTTTATGTGTTGACATATACTAGTTTTAATTATTTGTTTTTGTTTAATATTGGACACAAACCGAAGTTAGCACCAGCCCTTATAATGTGCTGACTTTTCCTTGTATTAGTGAAGATATTGGATTTTATTTTTTAGAGGACCCCGATTTAAAGGTACATACGTGTGGTAATTTTTAAAATTTTTGCAAACTTTTCTATTATATAAAAATAAATGGCTTAGGTCATAAGAATCTTAGTCGCTTAATTTAGAAATGTACATGCATGCATGAGATGGTATTTTTCAAATATTAATTTTCATTTTAGTATTTTTAAATATATTTTTTACAAAGGTATTTTTAAATAATTAAGCAAATGCTTTATGCATCTGTCTACAACATATTGGAATATAGTTGATACTAACTTTCTGCTTTCAAGGATGCCAAACGCTTTATTCATAAAAGCACTACAAAATACAAACTGGAGAACTAATATTATAATTAGTTTTATGCCCTGCATACCAAACCCAACGTTGTTATAATAATTAGATTTGCAAATCTGTGTTAGCTTTTTGGTTCTTCTTTGGTTTACTATGCAAATTTGTGTAAGTTGTTTTGCTCTTGATACATAGTACTTCGACCTTTTAAACAAAAACAAATAGATAGTACTCCAAATCTAATTAGAAGCGCTAGCTAATTAACCTTCAAAGTTGAACAATTTGTGTGTGTGTGTGTGTGTGTTTTTTTGTTGTTAAAATAAGGAGGAAAGTCCCCAGACAACGTCCTAACTCAAACCATCAGAACAAATTTGTGTTAAATTGTTTAGCTTTTAGTTTATCATGCATATTTCTGCTATGAACTTTGTACTTTTGAAAATTACAGTGTAACTAGCTACCTAAAATTTAGTCATGTTGTACATAAACTTGCGGCCATTAGTTTATCATTGTGAGCCAAGAGTCCCGTTTTATTGGTCATCTTTTGACAACTAAAAAGTTATGATCACCCATCATTTAATTTGATATTAAGAATTGAGATATTAAAAGCACATCTCTTTATATTCCACTCTTAATAACAAACCCAAAAATAAATAATTGTGCATTTTTTTATCAATAGCAACCAAGACAAACCTTATATGTGAGCCAAATACTCAGCTCAGCTTACAAGCATTTGTTTTAAGGATAAAATTGGTATTGGACAATAACAACAAACATGCATGCATAATATATATATATAAACAATATAAACAAATCAGTAATAGTCTTCCTCGCTAGGGTTTCTATATGTATCATTATCTTCCTTGCTCAGATCTAACCTTCCTCGCGAGCTGCCTTAAAGAATTTTTGTCAGCGAATCCTTGTGCTGAGCTCACAAGGATTTGGTTCTCTCTCTCTCTCTCTCTCTCTCTCTCTCTCATTGTTTTTAATCCTCATTAGTTTTATAGAGGAAAGAGACAGTAATAAAATCTATAAGTAAGACCGAATCCCTTGGTTGTTTTTTTTTTAATTTTTTAATTTTTTAATTTTAAAGGGACTATCTGGTGAGGAAGTGGTCAAGTCATGGCAGTTTATCCTTTTGGGAGCCGGAAAGACCCACAAAGGCATTTCAGCCACCTTTTGACTACTATCGTGTAATTCACCAGTGTCATGAATTGGACACAGAACAAGCTGTGTGGAATACATGCCTGAAATTCGCCTCAACCACTGAATCACTTCGTGGTGGTTCGAATCCTTTGGCTGTTAAATGTTATGTTTTGTTTGTCAACACACTTAGCTTAACCCAAACAAGCATTTCTTTCTTTAAAAAGATAACATAAATTCAAGAAGAAAAAAAACTCAAAGGAAGATGAAAAATATTCGAAGTGTCACTTCATCGTATTAAAAGAAAATGGGTAAATCACCAAAATGATCCCTGAGATTTGCATAACTCATCACTTTGGTCCCTGAGATTCCAAATCGGTAAAAGTGGTCCCTGAGATTGTCCACCATCCATCATTTTGGTCATTCCATTAAAAACTCTGTTAAGTGTCCCGGAACTCTTGGCCGGAAGTTTGGGCAATTTTCAAAGCTTCGTAACTCAATCGTTTCTTAACCAAATTCGATCCATAATATATCAAAATGAAGATAGGAAAGTGTAGAATAAGATTATTCCATTTTGAAGCCCAATGGTTGCAGGAGATTACCGTAAAATAGCCTCAAAGTTGACTGGTCCGAGTGAAAATTTGAAAACTCGCCAGAAACTGAGTGAACTTTAAACGTTCATAACTTCTTCAATACTCAACGAAATTAAGTGATTCAAAAACAAAAATCATACTTCTCGACGAGAAAAAGAGAATGGTACCTTTTTTGATGGCTAACTAGCCGTGGTTTGGCCGAAAAACGGCTCGAAAGTGGCTGTCTTGGTCTTGAGTTAGCCACTTTCAAGCCGTTTTCCGGCCAAACCACGATGTGTTATCCATTGAAAAATGTACCATTCTCTTCGTTTCGTCGATAAGTATGATTTTTTTTTTGAATCACTTGATTTCGTTGAGTATTGAAGAAGTTATGAACGTTTAAAGTTTACCCAGTTTCCTGCGAGTTTTTAAGTTTTCACTCGAACCAGTCAACTTTGAGGCTATTTTCCAGCCATCTCCAGCAACCATTGGGCTTTGAAATAGGTATAATCTTATTCTACACTTTCCTATCTTCATTTTGATATATTATGGATCGAATTTGGTTAACAAACGATTGAGTTACGAAGCTTTGAAAATTGCCCAAACTTTCGGCCAAGAGCTTCGGGACACTTAACGGAGTTTTTAACGGAATGACCAAAATGATGGATGGTGGACAATCTCAGGGACCACTTTTATTGATTTGGAATCTTAAGAACCAAAGTGATGAGTTATGCAAATCTCAAGGACCATTTTGACGATTTACCCAAAGAAAAATTAGTTTAGAGAATATATAAATATCTTAAGATATTGATGACTATTTTGTCGTAGAGTAGATGGAACCTTCAATTTACAATGACTAGGTACCATCACCACCTACTCATTGAGACAACCATGTCGACTACAAAGCTTTTATATAAACATTATGAATTTAATATGAACCACTCGAAAAAAAAAACATTGAACAAATGACGACCAACCAATTTCATATTAAAATCTAACCCTTTAAAAAAAAAGACAAATTCAAATTCCTAACTAGCTTCGAAACCAAAGATGCATCTTTCGTCCCTGATTTTCACACTTGAATTTTGGATGGACAGTTACCAAATGTCATTGGTATGATCTCATGATGTTAGAATATATCATCTCATCCAACAACAAAAATACTAGCCTCCAAGTGGCCCATGCATGGTTTTATGATCTAATTAACCCTTAAAAATTCCACAATGGAGGAAAGATTACTCGTGCAATGAAAATAATAAACTACAATTGGAACTCAAACAAGCAATATACTCTTCTTCTTTTTTTAGCATAAACAAGCAATATACTTAACATGGAGGAAAATACAAGCATATATATATATATATATATCTACATAATTTTTAATTTTTTTACAACAATCGCATATCCTTTTTTTTTTCTTTTCTTTCCGTTTGAATTCTAAATGAAATGATGAGATCAGTAGTGGCTCCAAATATTCTTGGGCATGCCGACATCAGATAGGTAGTTTTCTGAACTACTTCCTTCCCCAAAGCTTGGTGATGAGCCATCCAAAGTAGGATAAATGGACTTTTCCATCTTGGTAAGGTGACTCAAAACAGCTTTTAGCACCTTTTTGTCACATGAAAAAGGGTCAAGAAAATTGGTCACATTTGGCAACCCTCCAAATGTGGTTGTGTTGGTATTATTATTGTGCTTGGTGGGTATGCTTGGTTGAGAACTGGTGATGTCAACGTGTGTGAAAAATTGGGTTGGTTTGGTTCTGGGAGAACATGGAGAAGCAGGGCACTTGCTCATAGTCTTGGGGTTGAGTCTCTGTGTGTGTCTGAATCTGAGTTTGGCCATCGAAACTGATGTAAGAGTCCATCAAGGCAGGCAGAGTTAAAGTGCTCGTGTCATCGTAACAGCTAACTCCCATGCTGGGTTTGGCAGCTATCTCTCGGTTTTTATAAAACACTCTGCACAAAACCCAATCTTCCTGCATCGGAAACTATTTTTATTAATATGTGAAGCATAAAAAAATAATAAAAAAAGTTAAAAGCCGAAGTAGAAGAAATTTTCGGTATATCTCGAATCTACTAACGACGTTTATTATTATTTCCAAGAATAAACCTGTGAATTGCGTTTGATACGTGTCAATTTATAACAATCAGCTCTAGCAGCCACTAGTTACAATACTTTAGGTGAAGGGACAAATTAGTCCTTGGAATTTAAATGGTAGGAAAGTTGAACATAGATGAAATTAGAATGCTGTACAGTTTATGTGAATTAACTATATAAATACATTTTCCTAAGATGTTACAAACCTACATATAATATATGAAGAAGGATCTGCTTGGGTCAGCTACCATCAAGATTAAATTTTGCATATAATTTACGAGTCGTGACAAGTGGACAAAAATATAGGTTTTGGCTATATATATGGAGAAAAACAAATATTTTCAAAAAAGTCAAAGATCTTATTACAAATAATGAAAATTCTTTTGTAAGATCCCACTTGCTAATTGCCACCCAATTACCCATTTAAAATTCTCAGCAGATTACTAGTTGGAAATATGTATGTATATATAGAGTAATGTTAGGTAGACTAAATTTGCAAACTAAATGATGTGTCACCAATGAGAAGTAATCATGTTAATCAACACTTAAGTAATAACCCAATCAACGATGTTCATATAATTTAATTTAAAAAATTAGTATTACCCACACACACACAGATATATATATTTCCCTTATATAAGACTACATTTTCTGCTTATACTGGCTGACCTACGTACTATATATCAGAGTTTATTTGCATTTAATTCTTGTAATATTAGGGTGTTTGTAATATGATCGAAGACAAAGCATGATGTATTACGAAAATTGTTATTTGGCACTAATTCCTTATAAAAAATACAAGGTAGAAATTCAAGAAGTGTAAGATAACTCCTGAAGTGAGAATAATATTTCCGAGTATTTTGATTATAACTGTTAAAATCTGACAAGGAAAAAGAACGGATCGATGTAGCATACCTTGAGAGGAGAGATTTTAGGAGGACCTTCAAGCCGAAACTCATGCATGACCCAATCGGATTTTCTGCCTTTGGGAGCTCGGCCCTGGTAGAAGACCAGGGTTTTTCTCATCCCAACAAGGCTTCCTTTACGACGGATTGACCTATCTTTTCCTGTGGCCTTCCAATACCCTGTTGCAGTTGCACGGTTTGTTCGAAGTCCTGTTGCATATTTACGATCACGCTGACTATAGAAGTACCATTCTTTCCCTCCCACACATGCACTTTCTGCAAAACATTATCGCTTAGTGAGTCACCAATACTGTTATTTGGACCATATTAATTACCTATCACTTTACTAACCACCTTTCTAATAGGGACGTAAATTACATGGGTGAGTGAGAACTCTCTCTATTAAATAAGTTATGACAGTAAATCTGATAGAATGCGTACAAGCAGCAAAACTAACCCTAAATTCTAAACTCTGAGATAAACGACATCATGCAACAAAAAGACCGTAACCCTAAAACCTAAACGTACTCTGAAACAAACAACAACATGCCACATGTATTCTTTTCTTAATATGGGTTAAAACTTAATGATTATGAATAATAGTTTGTGGGAACAATTACAAAACATAGCTGGAGGGTTTTCAGAATACCCATTGGTATATTTTTCAGGTCGAATTTGGTTTGTTCCAGTTTCCATTAAATTAATATGCGGTGACGTCAACCGAAGACTTCTTGATAACCAGAACAGGACGACAAAAAAGAAAATGGTGGTGACTCAACATCATCCATGACCAAAATAGCTGAACGATATCCGGCTATTATGCAGTTGATGAGGGGTCAGTATCCAAGTCTCAAAAGAAAATTATTGAACATAAAATGCCAATTGCATGCCCAAGTCACCTACAGGTTTCTTCTTTTTTTTTTTTTCTTTTTTCTTTTGTGTAATTCATAAAAAGAGGTCTTTGCTTTGAAGTGCGCGTTGATCATGAATCATGCATGGGAAATAATTGTACCTTTTTTCTTATAAAAAACCACTTTTACATATATGAGGACTATTAATTATTTATGCATGTAAAGAGATTTTTACATATATAATTATCAACTGTTGATGTATGTATAAAGTGGAATGACGACCAATAGTTATGCGATGAAAATTGTTAGCAAGAGAACTTCTATCAGATAATTGTTTTGTTATAATTAAAGACATAAAAGTTTAAAGAATAATATGTTTGAAAAATCAAAGGAGATATGATTAGAGGATGATGGTGACAAGCCCTAAGCCTTCTAGTGGTTGGGGTGAGGATGAGTACGAAAGTTTTAATTCTTTCCAACCTGGTTGGATACACGCGTGTGGATGCAATGGGATGGGAACTAGACTTTGGGGTTTGCTTTATATATCACAAATTTTGGTTGGGAAAAAAAAACCAAGAACTTCCATTTCTTCAAAAAGGAATGATTACGAAATTTTTGTATTATATAATACAAACTACGTAAAGATAGGACCATGGGAAATGAATTTGCCAATAGATATTTGGGAGCTTCCGTACGATTAAAGGCAAGCTTTATTCTGTAGCTTGCTTTTCCACTGTCTTCCTCAAAGATGGTGGTAGGGACCATGAGTTACAGAATACATAATCGCATATATTCTAGTTATATTATTAGTGAAAATTAGTGTTGCACTTGTGAATGAAAGGAAAATGTACTATAGAATATATATATATATATATATGCATATGTAGCTATTTATTACATTTACAGATGGTTGCAAAATTTAAAAAATTTATTGAATACATGCGCAGACGGCTAACAGGTATAAATAAGTATGGACACTAAAAATGGACCATACATCCATCAAGCATGGTTCAAATTAAGTTGTTTACCTCCATATATGAAATGACTAATATATTGGACCACATGAAATAATAATCCTTTTCTACAAGTGTAGAATTTTTTTGTGTCGTGGTACCAAAGAAGATCAAAATATTGTTAAACATGCTGCGTTAACTCCCACAATGAGGATGGATATGGAAATGAGTTAGTTTTAGGCCATACCAAAATTTGATTCCCTCCCATGTGACAAAGCAGAAAAAAGTCAAATTGTTACCATAACTAAAGTATATAGTTTATAATTATTTACTAATATGTGATTCGCAACCTAACAAGAGGATCTTACAAAAAAAGGAGTGATACCTTATCACACATAACGTTTATTATTATCATCTAAAATCCATTGTTCTATCCAAAGATTAAAAGCAGCTTACAAAGCATGAACGAAGACTTAATTAGCAACTTTAATTATACCCAATCTAAAATGTTTGCTTAATCCAGCAAACCCTAAAAGAAAATGGAAAGCTAAAAGTCAATTTATAGAGGACTAAAAAAGGAAAGAATAAAATAACTGCCTAGAATTCGTTAAGCAACTTGGATATTATTGTACAATTATTATTAAAAGTTTATTCCACGTACTTTTGATTTTTGAACATTTATCAAAGTACTGCCTCAACAAGTTCTGTTTTAATTTCTGATGAAAATTTGAGCAACTGTAATCACAATAAGTGCGAGAACATGCTAATATATCAGCATCACTTTTCAATCCGTCACATGATAATTGGTCCACTCGAGGCCATTTGGTTTTATCAATTACAAAGTTGTGGCAGGGCAGCTGTAAGAACACACCACTTTGAAGGCCCTAATTGTATGAATTTCTAACCATTCAGGTTGCTATCACTACCTCACCCCACAAACTTGGGCACAAACACAGCCAAAGAAAAATAGTATTTATAGAGTTGCCAATAGGTATACATATTTTCAAGAAAAAACATTTTCAACAAAAAAAGAGCTGAAAACAGCAATACATGTAATCCTTTTTCACTCTCTTATTCCTGGTTAATAATTATAAAATATGGGAGTTTATAATGAGGTTATTAATATATATATATATATACACACACACATATATACACGTTTATATATGCATATAAGGATTACTCAACTTTTTGCATGATCGCTATGTATATATATATATATCTGTGTGTGTGTGTATAACTTCCTGCGGAAGAAAGGAACATAATATGTGTGTGTTTGTATATATGTATATGTATGTATGCATGCATCTATGTATATGTATATATGTGAAACTCAAACTTACCAGGGATATCCCATGGCTCAGACTTGTTGAGGTCAACTTCAATCATAAGGATTGAGTCAGATTGAGTCACCTTCTTCATCAAATAGTCACACACAAGCTCTTCATCTCTTGGATGGAACCTGAACCCTGGTGGCAACTTTGCCTCCACCACGCTTATGTTGCTCATTTTCTTTCACAGAGAGAGAGAGAGAGAGAGAGAGCAGAGGAAATGTTTTGTCGCGAGAGATCTCTTTTCTCAGAGAAAGAAGGGCAAGTGGGAGGTGTATAAATATGAAAAATAATGAGGGGAAAACAAAGTGGGGGTTAAGTCAACTAGTAATTCCGTGTAAAAAGCTGTTAAAGTTTTGTAGGATTTGAATAGCACAACCCATCTTTCAATTTGCCTACGTGTCATGATGATGTGGACAAACCAAAACCAGTGCCAACCTGCAGACGTGTACATTGATAATTGGGGTGGGGTTGGGGGAAATTCAGTTGAGTTGTTTTTGTTCCCCTGCCCTTTCAATCTTCTTGGAATTACTTATATTGTTATTATTATTTTACCTTATTCTCTTTTTGTTGTAAAATCGACGGTATATATGTACTGGAATATAAAGTATGTAAGACACAATATTTACGATGTTCGACAAGTGTGCCTACGTCATCGGGGTAGCAGTAGTACTTTCTTTCATTATGTGAAATAATAAGAGTACAAAAATAATTCTCACTATTTTCTTTCTTCTCTCTAGCCTAGCTCACTGGTATTTTATTGATCTGTATCTCTCTTCTTTCTCTTCTTCTTCTCCTCTCTCTTCTTTTCGTTCTCCCTTTCTTTCTTCCTCCATATGCTCTCTTTTTATAGGCAAAAGATTATTGTAGCAACACTATTTGCTTCACAAACTTTCTTCATATGAATGATAGTCCATTTGATTTTTCTTTGGATGAATAGTAACAAACTATTCTTGTGGATCATTCACATATTACATTACAACACTTTTATATTTGTTTTCTATGGTTTTGTATTAACATTTTATATAGAGAAGAAAGATTTGTCACTTCACACTTGCCAACGTTATTGAAATCACTATACGCTAGTCGGACGGCAAGAAGACTACTAGAGCTAACTAGACCTTTTTCAACAATAAATTTATTATATTTTATAAAATATAAGTATGTGTTATATTTTAAGGCTATTTCTAATGGTTTTGTAACACTTCTAGGTCCATATATTTTTGTTGGGAAGAGGATCCTCTCCTGAGCTCAAGATAGGGATCCTCCTGACCACGAAATCTGGGTCGTTCAAATTTAATTCAACGACTCCAAATAGGAGGACCCTCTAAAAATTATAATAATTGCAACCGTTAAATTAAATTTGAACAGTCATGATTTCGTGGTCAGAAGATCTCCATCGTAAGCTCAGGAGAGGATCCTCTTCCTTTTTGTTGGTCCTTACCAATTTATTGAACGTTTTTAGAATAATTGTGGCAGTGGTCCACCGTCCAACGTCACCTAAATGGCTGCTTCGATCGCTTTTTAGAACAGTGGCACCTGCATCTCAACCAACCAATCCAAGAATAGTGGTCTCACTATGATGGCCTTCTTTGTTTTTTTATTTCCTAACTTTTTTAAACCCAAAACCAAACCTAGCTATGTATTCGACGTATTTATTTATTTTATTTTGTATGGAAAAGTGTAATTGATGTATTTTGAGAAACCAAACAAAACCTAACAACAAAACACTCTAACTGCTTATAAAATATGCTAAGTTCCTTAATTTTCTAATATAAAACGATATTTCATGTGACAAATTAATCAAGTTAAATGCATGAATAATATATAAGGGTAATATGGAATATGTTTGATCGTTGCACTTTCACATATTAGTCAACTTACTCTAATATGAAAATTGGAGTTGAGGTTTCACCTTAAATCAATAGGTAATAGAGGAAATATGGCATGATAACAGTTCGAATTGAGGACAAAAGTACTATATCAAATGGTTGAAGATTACGAGTCTTTAATTTGATTCTACAGTATATGTTCTAAATCCTCATTTTTTTATATAAATGATATTTTTTACTCTAAAGTCTAAACTGCTCCAATGAAAAGGGATATGATTTGATCATTTGAACATGGTACACAATGGGTTGAAGAGAAAGGCCGCACCCAAATTTGACGCTCTTCTTAGCTGTGTGGTAAATAGGGCAACTGAGCTCATCAAGTTTTGGACCTGCTTCTTCTTGAACCACCTCTCCTCCACTTTGATATCTGCAATTTTGGCCCTTCAGGCGAAAATGTTAGTGTGTAAATTGTGGTCTGATGTGGCAGTTGGTTTCTAGCTCATATTGCTAGGATTGTGTGTATGCTTTCTTATTAAGTCTCATAGGTCTTAAACAAGTGAGTGTATATGTGTCTTCATCTCATAGGATGTAAGATGGATGGCTAGGATTGAATGGATGTATTTTGAATACTGCCAAGTTTAATTGTAATAGCAATTAAGAGGAGTGTGATTTTTACTGCACACTCACTCTCGGTGGAATGAAATAGTAACAATATGCAGAGTCACATTCTCTGCATTCTTCATCTCTATCTCACTGCATCATCTTCTCCATTGGTGTAAACCATCCTTGATTTCATATTACCTGTGAGTCATACCGCACAGGGAGGATTAAAAGTTCGTTCTAATACTAACAGAAAATTCACAGCCAACTGACTGCATCCCAACTCGATCCTTCAACCTATGTCGGCATGATGCCGCTTGAGTGAGATAAATGGATGACAGTTCGACCACTTCCGAGACTGTGAGAACCGGCTGACATAATGATAATAACCCCGAGTCCTTCCTCGTGAAGTTGTTCGAGTCTTTTGGTTGCTGAGTTGAGCTGACGGGTGAGGGCTTGGTGCAAGGCCCAGTCTCTTGTAAATATGCTGAAAAGGTGACCGGTACTTCCGCACACTTGCAGAGTCATGGAAATTTTGATCACAGTGTGATGCTAAGCCTCTCGAACAGCTTGATATCGCTGTTTAAAATATGATTCTCCTTCCCACAGCTACAACTTATCCTAAAGCCAATAGGTCCTTCGTATTGCTACACAACGTAACAGCCGAAAGCCCGTCCGACCCTGCTACGCCAATATTAACAGCCTCTCTGGGAGCCTAGCCCTCCCTGTATAATCAGAGGCCCCAGCAATATCTGCATCAGAGCTATCCTAATTTTACATCATCAGAAAAAATAATGCTACATTAATCTTGCATCATCCATGTCAAATACAAAATAATTGCATCAGCATCTGTGTAACTTTGTAAACAGAAGTGATTTCAAATTGGTTCAGAAACGGAGATTCAAAAACAAGTTGGAGCAAGCAGTATAGCCGTATAGGTGACATGTCATTTGGATGTGAATAAGCAAACAAAGTCTCAGTACGGCTTATTTCTTTTGATGTAAAATGGAAGTATCAGAAAGTATGAGTGCATTTGTATTTTGTAGTAATATGTGTTGGATATATGTCAACAATCTTTGATAAATTTATATATGCTAATAAATAAATAGTGTATGAACAATGAACTAATATTAAACAGAAATATTGAAGATCGAGGCTTGCGTACCGCAATGTCCTTGAAACAGAAATTTCACCCCTACTCAGTGCTTGTAGTTTTCCGGACGTCTTTTTCACCAGGATTCAACGATCAAGTTAGAATTCCAGCACTGGAAAACTTAACTTTTAGCGAAGTTCCTTGTGGTACTCTCAATAAGAATGTTATGGATTATAGAAGGAGATTTATGTTTTCTGTGTACTAAATGTCATGCAAACGGATGTATATATAGTGGGATTATGTCTGTTCGCAACAGGTATAAGAATGAGATGTGATTGTTGGGAGACATTTCTTCAGATGGGGTGCAGTGCTCTCTGCATTTTTCATTGACTTCAGACTTCATCAACTTCAAAGTTTATCTGAAAAGATGAGTCTGTTCAAATAAAAATTAATTTAATTAAATTCGAAATTATTTAAATTTTAATTTTCAGAGCCCCAAGGCCCATCTTTTGATAATTAATTATGTATTAATTACCAATTAATTAGTGGATCCCAAAGCCCAACCCTAAGGGTGAGCCCAATTTTATTCTCCAAGTCCTATTACTCCAATCACTTTTAATAAATGACAAAGACTTATAAAGTGATGAAATCTCTACTTAAACTACTTAAATTTCCAACAATATAGCGTGAAAGTAACGTACAGCAGATGATTCAACTTCCTTCCATATTCCATGGGCATCCATATCCTTCAGTGGCTCAAGACTTTTCCGACATAACCCCGATAAGCAGTATTTCTGAAAAAGTAAAAATTTTGCCGATGAATTTGTTCCTCTCGCGTTTGGTACCGCTTTCGTCAACTTTGGTTAGGAATCTCATCAAAACACGTTACGTGCTCACCGGCATTGTCGTCATTCGTCCCTAAACGACTTGGGGATAAGAATTACGTTTACTAAAACTTGGGAGCGTAATGAAATGCTAAACAATAAACAAACTAAACTCAATTGCATTGTGCCGTCGAGCATTAGTCATAGAGTAGCAAAAACATTATCAGAAAGGCCTCACACGGAAAGCAACCAAACTTCAAAGAGGCGATAATATTGTCACTTTGATGAGCAAATTTAAAAATGGGCTTAAGTTCTTCCAAGCCCAAAAAGAGGTGCACTTGGTGGGCTTGAAGGTTTAAGTGTGTCCAAGCCCAAAAACAGCTATATTTTTCTCTCGTTGTGAGCTCTGCAATAGCGAATTAAAAGGTTACTTGAAAGTGGACCGGGCATTTACTACATGATGCATAAGTTATATATACTCAATTGGTATAAGACTACAAATACTCATGACGTTGCCCTCAAGCCAGACCTAGTTAGTGTTCTTTGTATGATTGTGTGTGTTCTACAATTTTATCATTGTTTGTCGAGTGCGTGGTAGCAAATATCTCTGAATTTTACCCCATTTCGAGTTTTTATCTTTGAACTTTTATATTAGTTTCTCTCACCTTTCAACTTAATTCTGAGATGCATGAGTGGTCATTCCATCAAATTTGTCTTCTTTTTTGTCAAAATTTAAGCGTATAGTGGTATTTCATACAAAAAAAAATCTAATTTATTTTAAAAAGAGAAGAACTTGACTCTTTAAGCTAAGATCGTTAAGTCGATTTTAAGAAGTTCTGATTGTAATTAAGCAAGAAATTATGTGAATAGATCATGAGGTATTTTAAGGAGTTTCTCTTCAATCTTTTAGGAGCCAGATCTTTCTCTTTAAAAATTCATTTTTTTTTCGATGAAATTCGTATTTTATCACTCAACTTAACGAAAAAGTTGACGGAGTTAATGAAAAAGACTACTAATGCAGCAAATGGCATAATTCGAGGACAGTGTAAACTATTAGAAGAGTTTAGAGACGAAAACTAAACTTGTGGTATAGATCAGGAACATTTGCTACAATTTAGCCTTGTTTATCCAATTTCAACCACAATATGTAAGATGTTAATATATTCCGACTATTTTCCTAGTTTTGATCAAATAGAGTAACCCAAATTAAATTCAAGTAGACTAAGCCACAATTATTTTGAACATCTATATAAATATCTTTTGAATATGAAATTTTAAAATCTTTAGAAAAAAACATCTTTTATGATATACACCAACTATTACATGACCTTTGTATGTTCTATAACATGATCAACGAAGGCCAATTTGATTCCAAAAATGAGATTGCAAGATCAACACAATCAACCTAGCATCTATTTGGTAACTAACTACAGGATAATTTAGTAGCTGGATATGAATTCCAAACTTCTGTTCCATACGTCACATCCTAAATTCAATTCCTTTGATTTGTGAACCGCACGAAAAACAAACCTATGACCAAATCTCCCTTTTTAACTTCAATAATTAAGAACCGCAAAAAATGGAAGAAAGTAATTAACAAGATTTGACCATGAATTAGATGAACGAAAAAAACCCAAAATACAAGACAGGGAAAGCAGCAGCAGCGCTAATAACATGAAATGATAGGAGGCCGACGTGGCCACAAATAAAATGGAGCGTTTCCACTTGTGCTATATATATGCCCACATCTGTTTTATGTTCCGTATTCAAGTACAACAAGCAACTCACCCTTTCTCCCCGACTTATAACTCCCCCAAACCCTAAACCGCCAGCTCACGCCTCCCTAGATCTCTCCCTCCCTCCCCCCCCCACCATCGCTTTTCCGGCAATGTGATTCCGACCCCAAACGGACTACCACATTGTCGTTTTACAGATGGCCTCCGCTTGCGTCAACAACATCGGGATGTCGCCGGAGAAGTTCCCTCCGGGGCCGTTCCGGTCATACGGATGGCTGAGTCCTAGAATCTCCTTCAGCCGCGAGTCCCCCAGCGACGACGGCGCTTCGAAGCTAGGCGGCGGTTCCAAGGCCTCGTCTCCGGTGAAGCATCCGCCGGAAGGTCCAGATCCGGAGATCTACTGCGGCGAGTTCGAGTTCCGGTTGGAAGATCCGGTGGCTATGCTTCCCGCCGACGAGCTCTTTTCAGGCGGGAAGCTCATGCCGCTTCAGTTCTCCTCAGTCAAAGTTGCGGTCAACGATCCCACTTCGACGGAGGATACCAGATCGCCAGACACGGCCAAGTACCTCCGGGGACCCGAATTAATCGGTGCGGACCCGTACCTATTTTCTCCCAAGGCCCCGAGGTGTTCGAGTAGGTGGAGGGAGCTCTTAGGCCTAAAGAAGCACCAGAACAGCACCGCCACCACCAACGGTAACGCGAAGAGCGAGGGCCACAAAACGCCGGCGTTTGTGAGCTCAAACGCGCCTAAATCTCTGAAGCATTTCCTTCACAGGAGTTCGAAATCTCTGTCCTCCTCCCCCTCTGGCTCCGACGCCACCCTGAGCTTGCCGTTGCTTAGAGACTCGGACTGCGAATCGGTCTCGATTTCTTCGCGCCTCTCGCTCTCCTCCTCGTCTTCTGGCCACGAGCACGAGGACCTGCCACGGCTCTCGCTCGATTCGGACAAACCGAACCCGATCATTTCTATCCACCGGACCAACCCGGGGCAGGCGCGGGTGCGGATGGTCAAGACTCGGGAGGCGACGAAGCAGAGATCGGCGGCTGATCAGTCGAGGGTGGGACGGAGTCCGATGAGGGCGGCGGGGGAATCGGGTACGGTGGCGAGCAGGGGAGTATCGGTGGACTCGCCGAGAATGAACTCGTCGGGGAAAATAGTCTTCCAGAGCTTGGAGCGTAGCTCGAGCAGTCCAAGTAGCTTCAACGGTGGGCCCAGGTTGAAGCACAGAGGAATCGAGCGGTCCTACTCGGCCAACGTCAGAGTGACTCCGGTTCTCAACGTTCCGGTTTGCTCCCTCCGCGGTTCGTCCAAGTCCGGGTCGGTTTTCGGGTTCGGACAGCTATTTTCGGGTCCGGCCCCGCAGAAGAAAGAAGGAAACGGCAGCGTTTCCGGCCACAACCGCGGCCAGCACATCCATTATAGTCATCATCATAGTCAAAGTAAGAACCGGACAGACCGAACCGCCTGAATCCGGAATTCGGGGAACCCCGATTTGACGGCGTCGTTTCATTCATATTTTCCGCCGTGTTTTGTATGTAAATATGAGGCAGATTCTGAGGGTCTGATCCTGATGTAGCTATGTCGTTGTTGTGTTCATGTTTAGACTTTAACGGTGTCGTTTAACCAGTCCAACCATCCACCTTCTTCTTCCATTATCATTAGTGCAAGACTATTCTCTGACCTTGGCGGGTGGTTGCACGCGCGATGGATGCTCGTAGGACTTGCAAACTAGGCTGTGCGACTGCTACAATCAACATGCTGAACTTATCCATGTACTGTTTTTCTTTTTCTTTTTGGAATTTTTATTACAGTGGGTGGTGCTGTCCTTTTTCATTTGAGTCATTAGATTAATTTAAACTTATAAGCTTAAATTATCGTCATTAGATTAATTTAAAGGTAAATTAACTTATAAGCTTAAATTATCTTTGTTATATCATAATAATAATAAATAACAAAAAAAAGAAAAGGTTCATCGGGGAAAATTCCTTTCAATTGGCAAAAAAGATGAAATTGAGGTAACATGTTCATGTGGACAACAACTGGGTGACGTAGAGAGCATGTGCTCGTTTGGCTTCACACGAGAACAATCCATTTTGATACCATGATGAAAATGAGGTTTCATTATAAAACTAATTGGCAATATGGGGAGTAATCCAAGACCATAGAAGCATATAGCAAACCTTGTTCCTCACCGATGTGGGACAGCTCTCAACAAAAGAGGTGTTTCCTTAGATTTCGAACCCCCATTGCCAACGGGTCCAAACGAGCGGCCTTGCAGACATTATCAAAAGCCCTAAGTTTATTGGAGGCACTTCCCGTATTTTGCCGTCCGTTTTGCAGTGAATTCACATCAAACAGTGGCCACCACCACGTTTGTTGTGTGCCTCTTTGATATAATTCAAATCGCCAAAAGGATGATTGTGTTGAGTTGATGTGCATCTCCCACTCCTTATGATTACAAAGCCAATAGAGCACAATTTGATTACAAATCTTGAAAGAGAATTCAAATTTTAGGAGGACTGCAGAGGGGAGAGAGGGCATGGGAAGAAGACGAGACAAATTGCAATCCTGGTGGAAGAGATTTTTTTTTTTTTTTTTAAGTTTTTGTTAATTTAATTCATTTGCTGTATATATTTTGTTAAGATAAAACAAGGATAGGATAAATTAAGCTTATAGGTTAATCTCCTCTTCGATCAATCTAATATCTCAAATGGCAAGTTTTCAAAATAAGAATCTTAGCAGAGCACTCTTTCTTTTATTAATATCTAATTGTTACTAAAAGTGCTGCGAAAAATATGTCACCTTATATACTTGGACTGTCACATTATATTTTGTTCTAATATTAATATAAAAATTAACGTCAAATTATCAAGACTTTCTGGAGATAGTGTTCGGGGACTTTCCAGAAAGAGTGTCCATTTCTCAAAGTGTTATTATTTGCCGAATTTGGGAAATGATGCCAAGATTCAGAAGAGGCCCCAGCTCTAGCTCTGAATTGATGAATCAAATTTTTATTTATTTTTTGCTTGTCAGAGTCTCATTTTTGTGTGTGTTGTTTTAGGCTTTGTACTCTGAATACATTAATATTGGAATTAATTAGTTTTATGGTTCACGTGATATTTAAATTTTCCTATAATTATATATTATAGGCTTAAACAATTGAAGATTAGGGTAGAGGAGGTTAGGCAAGTTTCAAAAGGGCAGCTTATGCTTTATTAGAAACTAAACTGAAATGTAAAACTATATTTTTATTTGGGAATTTTAACGAAACATTTTTGGTATTGTTCACTTTTAACGAAAATTATATTTTTACTATAAAAAGTCACACCTGATACTATTCACTTACAACACTTTTTTTGTCATTTTGATTAAAATTCTAAGTTTTCAAATCTTTTACATTAGTTTTCTTTATTTATTTAGACTTGTTTACATGGACCCCAACGGACCTATGAATTACTGGGGCAAATTGTCTTTTAATTTTGTGGGAGGCTTCCTACGTGTTTTTTTTTTTGGGCAAATTGTCTTTTAATTTTTTGGGAGGCTTCCTACGTTAAGTCATGGACTTATGGGATATGCATTTGCTTAATTTACCTGAGAAAATTAACCTATTAAGAAATTGTTTCTAATTATTTTCAGCTTCGTGAAGGGTTTTTCTTTTAAATGTGAGGCAATCAAAGGTTTACATATGAGAAGCCTGAACAAGTTGTGACACTTAGGGTGCATTTGTTGCACCGGACTGTTTCAGACTGAACTAGCTTCAGAGACTAAGCTGGACTGGCTTAGACTAGACTAAGATGGACTAGTTTAGTGAAGCGTTTGGTGCAGTGTCAGACTAAAAAGCAGAATATAAACAAACTATAATATTATATTATTTAACACTTATCTAATAATATTTTATTATTTTATCTAATAATATTAATTTAACCATTTTCTTTCTTTTTTCCTACTCTACCTCCCTCTGGAACCTTCTCCCATCTCTTCCCTCCGACTCCATCCATTCTCTCCGACTCCATGCAGTGTAAAAAGGAAGCAGATTTGGAGACAGAACTAACAATCCCATACATTTCGGGGGGACTCGCCAAGACTAACTAGCGAAGGACTTAGTCGGGACGAATCCGACTTGGTCTCATTAACGCTAGTCCTTCTTCACACCAAATACGGCTTAGCAATCCTAGTTAAGCCAGTTCAATCTAACGAGGTTTAGTGAGGGCAAACAAACACCCCCTTAAAGAGACGTTAAATTGGGTAATCTGAATAAAGTTTAGTCAAAGTTGTTACTCAACGATATTGGTAAGCCGACAAGGGTTGGCTTAAAGATCACAGTTCTCAGCCCAGTAAATATCTTTCAGGCTAGGGGGTTTTTGGCCTACGAATAGAATCAGATTGACCGAGTTCTCGTGGAAGTAAGATTATGAAAAGATTTAAGGGCGCGTTTACTAATCCGTAATCAAATTGAGAGGAATTGAATTGAGGATGAATTGAAATGAGGTGGAATCAGAATCAGATTCCTGTTGAAGTTGTTTACTAAAACTGTCTGGAATCGTAGTATAAATGATATTGAGTCCATATAAGTTGCTTACTAATTCACTTCAATTAGAATGAAAACTAGGTTGATTACTTAAATATCCTTAATTTATAATAGACAAATTTTAATTTTTTTTATACGATTTCACACTAGTATATGTGTTTTAAAGAGTTAAAACTCAACAGAAATTTTTGGAACCTCCATGGTTCCACCAGAACCTTCTAAACTCTCCCTCTGCATCCTCCTCAGTTTGTTTCTCCGATCATCCCCAAACACCAATTCTTGCTGCTCTCGACGCGTCAATCTCCCTCTGCATCTCTCTCTCTCTCTCCCCCTCTCTCTCCCTCCATTTGGGTTTGGATCTGGATCTGTTGGGTAAAAATTTTGGGGTGGGTTGGTGATGGGTATTGGCACTTTTGCCGTCTGGGAGGTGCTGCGATTTTCACAGCAGAAATTTCCAGCAGAACACCAAGCGATTTTCATACCATCAGTGCAGGTGCAATACGCAAACATCGAAACGAAAACAACTCGAGGAAACTTATGCACTTGCCTTGATGAAACTGATAGTAGCATTAGGCATCCACGAGGTCTTTCCAGTCAGTAAATGAAGAATTCTTCCACATAAGGGTAGTGAAGAGTTTTTAACTTATTCACCGAAAGAGATCACTTCATTAGCTTTCCAGCGAAGTGGAGTGTTCGATAATTGGTTAATCTCAGGTACATTTTGCAGTTCGACATTCAAATGGCCGATGCATATTCACAATAAAAATTCTCATCTCTTTGAGTACCTGTGTTCCTACACCCTGATACCGATTCGGCGCACCTATATTCTCACAAGTACAGTCCAAGCAACCGAACTTGGTGCAGGAGATCCTGAACTTCGCAGTGATCTAAACAACCTTGTTGTTAGGTTCTAAAATCCGAGGTTGAGAGGTATTCCTTCCTTGGCCGTCATCGCTCGAGTACAGAAGTTAGCAATGCATTCAACACCACCACCACATCTATTTTACTTGCCCGACTAAGCTCGAATGCGAGTTGATGCACCCTCATTCACAAAAATGACGTAGTTAACTCATAGTTACTTGTAGTTACTTGGCTTGCACTCTATGTAAACTCAATAATTTTTAGTTTCAACGCATGCACATCAAAACACTAATATGGTGACAAGTTATTTGGCTAATTTCTTTGTCATATGTTTTGTTTCGAAATTTCTCGAATGTTATAATTCCTACATTAAGAGTTAATAAGTTGTTAAATAGAATCCTTGATAAGCTGTTAAAAAAAAATTACAAAAAAAATCCGATTTGGAGATAAACTTCCATATCCCAGTTTCGTTATTTTCATTTTTCCATTTTTCCATTTTCCCCCGGTTTTAGAATAGAGAGAAGAAAGGGTTAAGATCATACTTGCACCATAAAGTTTAGGAGTTTTCACTTTGACCCTTCAACCTTTTTTTAAATTGTGTCTACTAAGGTCAAAAAATGACTTTCATTTACAAAATTGGATAGATTGGGACATGATTTTCTCAAAGACATTGATAACTCGTCTACTTTGATTGAAATGTCATTCATTTATTGGGTGTGACACTTCTTTCTAGTTTTAGATCCATATTCCACACAACATGTGTTCGTTTCAATTTCTGGCGTTAGTAAATCACACGATGGTGATCAGAAGGAACATGAAATACCTATGTGAAGTCTTTCCAGCCGTGACGAAACCACCGTCTAGTCCAATTTTCTTGAAAAGAAAAGAAAAACTCAAATTGGTCAGTATGATTTGGAGCTGACTTGCAAAAAAAAAAAAACTAGCTTTTACCTTCCAAAAGACGAGAGTAGTCGACTTCATCAAATAATTTGATATTTTTTACGGGGTGTGCTATCCACACACCTCTTTTTACGTTTCACACATCCATGTTAATTTATGTCCGTTGATCTTCTTTAATTTAATCCGACGACCGAAAACCAAAACGACGTGGGAGAAGTAAAAAGAGGTGTGGATATCATACCCCATTTTTTACTTGTGCCTCAATCTGAATGATCATTTCATTACCACATTAATTCACAAAACACCATATGGACTAGAACTCTAATTCCTTATTCTTCCATCATCAAACGCAATTGCAAGCCTCTCTATCTCTCTCATCTTATGGTACGACGGTTTAAAAAGTTTACATGTTGACGTCGTAATGATACCATAATATGTTCCAACAAAAAACCAATCGCATTGAATTTTCCGTGGCACCATTTATCTGAAGGTTTGTAAATAATGCTTGTTGTCCTAACTTGCAACTGCAACCTTCTCCATCTCTTTCAT